CCTTGTATGTTGTCTATGGTTGTCTATACCGGGTCTATGCTCTTTGGCTTTCAACGGTTACCGCAGTAGCTGATGTGGTTAAATATTGTGAAGGGAAATGTGATCGCCGGAAGAAAAGAGCGTGCCGTAGGCAGCGCTACAAAATTATTGGTAGGAATAATATTTTAAGCATTTATATTATATGAAATGTGTATTAGAAAATGTGATTCATTGCTCTCTTCGCATATAATGTGTTGCAGAAGTAATAGTGATGAGTTTAACTCTTGTTCTCAACCTGTGGTTCGTGACTCGCGTATGTAATATATGTTTGTAAGGATGTTCATCTTAGATCATTTAATTTTTTAATATTTTATGGCATTATATGGCATTTTAATATGAAAAAAATATATATATACTTCAGTGTATGTTGTGATTTAGCATACCTTTTTCAGTTAAATTGAAAATTCGTCTTTCTATGAGCGGGTTAAATTTAGTGCACGTGGGGGCTAACCTGTATTTGTATGTTTCTCATTAAATGTTGTCAGCTACGGTGACGAATTCAGTCATATTTTTAATCGAAATTCAATATAATAATCATTCATTGATAAATATTATATTGCCTTGAATTTGACAGATATATTTACTATCTTGGCTGTGTTGCCATGTCATCAAAAATACAAATTTTTGTGACGTGACCCCTTCAGTGTGTGATGATCTACAGATCTACAAATTTAAATTTCAACATTGTCCTCGTGTATGGTTTGAGGTTCTCACAGCAGTGATTATGAAGAATTCTATCTTCTGGGAGTGCTTGCTTCATGCTGATTTCTTGCATGATTAAAATATTTTTTTAATTCGCTAAGGGGGGTGGAGTGCAGCTGGGTCCACTCGGCACGGCGGCCACTGATTGGCCTATTGTAGCCTGCCCCGGGTGATTATGATGATGGAGAATTTGGTGGAATGAAGATCGACGGGAAACCGAAGATCTCGGAGAAAACCCGCCCCAGCGCCACTTTGTCGACCACAAATCCCACTTGACCATACCCGGGATCGAACCCGGGCCGCCGCTGTGGGAAACCAGCGACTAACCGCTTGAGCTATGGAGCGGTCTCTTGCATGACTAACTCTTCAGCCCCGAAGATGAAGGTGACACATTCCTCTGAGACATCTGTTGTACACTGCCTTTATCTCAGAAGATCTAACTCTTCTTTCTTATTCCTCCTGAGCTTTGGAAGATGTGTAGGCATTATGTCATAGGTTTCAGATCTCCTTCCTTTAGTGTTTCTGCTTTAATTAAGGTCATGTAACAATAAAGTTGCTCTGTTGGTCTCTCCCAAAAGCCCCTCCTCATCAGTTTTCTTCCTGTCTCCTGCATGTGATCTTCCTAACTGGTTGTTCCCATCTTGATATCAGTCTTTCTCATGGGCATTTGCTTTTATTTTCATATTCAAGACCGTTTTTAAATTCTCGCTCTGTTCGTTCTTCATACATGCCCGTAACATCTTATTCTGTTATTAAGTAATCTTCCAATGTATATACTTTGAATTTTCTGATTTTTTTAATTTTCATTCTCCCTGTTTTCCCTCCTGTACTTCTTAAAAGTCTTTATCTTAGCTGCTCTTAGTCTACTAACATCTACCTTTACCAATGCCATGTCAAACATGCGGCCCCCATAGCCACAAAGTGCGGCCCCTCAACTTTTAGAGCTAATTGCTATTAAAATCAATATTAAAATTTTAGTAGAAATATTTTTTTGTAAAGACAATTTCCCAACAGACCAGAAGACAAGAAGTCTTACGCAGACATAAATTAGCAGGCTGCAGGAACAGTGATTCTGAGAATTGCAGAAGGGTTTGGCCAACTAACAGTTTGTAAAGTTCGTGAAGGACAAACTATTGTATTTCAGAAGGTTAATGCACCACCCCAAGTATTTCCAAGAATCCCTTTTGGAGGTGTAGGAAGAATGCAAGGAGGGTGGTAACTGACAGACAAGTGCAAGGGATTTCTACCTTGAAAACTAGCTTGCAACCCCCAGTCATTTTCTAATGGGCTGCTAGCAAACTTTCACTTTTATGACCACTGAGACAAGATACACCTTCCTACTAGTCCAGTAGTCTCTTGTACATTGTCATTCAGTTCTTTTTCACACAGCGACAGGTGCTGATGTTATATTGTGATGAACCTATAAAGGTTATAATTAAACATTAAATTATCAACTACGAGTTTTCTTGTATATGTACAGTAACTATTAAAGGGCAATGTCGCTTTCAAAAAATTCAAGTAGCAAAAAGAGAACTACTGAAAGTGAGCACCGTGTTTTTCAAGAAAAGTGGGAAATCGCTTATTTCTGTTGTGAAATAGAAGGTAAAATTACATGTTTGATATATGGACAAAATATAAGTGTTCCACTTTAGGTAATTATATTGAAATTATTCCTAAATAATAAATATAATTAAATTTCCTTGTATCAAAATCTAATGTATATTTCTATTTTGAAGTACGGCCCTCGACTATTATTTATAGGACTGAGGTGGCCCTCTGTACAAGCTGAGTTTGGCATGCCTGTCTTACAGGAACCCTATAAATGTGTGGCTGATGGTGATATGGGACACTTTGACAGGCCTAGCAAGATACAGAAAGACTATAGATTTTTAAACCACACAACAGTCAGCCATGTGTTTCACATAAATAACATTAACATGGATTTAAGAACTATTAAAATGCTGTATTTGAGACAGTGTATGTCAACGATAAACTACACAATTTGTGTGACCGTCCTAATCAAACTTAGAATTTCACTCATTGTTTACTGACTCATCTTGAATATTCTCTTACTTTTATAATTTAGCTATGAAACTGAGATTACGTGGCAGTAATGCTGCCAAGTTCTAGTTGTCAGAAGGGTGTTTTCGCCTGCCTTTAATTCAGTTGCTACTACATACTGCTAATACAAATTGCAGGACGATTGAAAAATTGGAGAAGTTGCATTGATTAGAGTATGTTTTTTGTCTAATAACTGGATATGTAACCTTATGTTGGAACAGTAATATTGGGCACTGTATTTAGTTGCAGTTTAATTAACAATGCTGTCGGTAGTTCAGACTGTGTGAGATAAGTAGTAAATAATGAATTACAAAGGTTATGGAAGGAAGTGGCCTTGGCCTAATTTGAGGTGCTCTCTTGGTAGCTGTAGTAATTTGCTCAGAGGGCCCAAAGCTATGAATGTTTTATCTCTGTAGTTTTTTGTGGTACAGTTATTAGGAACTTAGCCATTCTTGCTGTAAAATGAAAAATAACTAACTAACTAGCTGACAGACTGATAACTAACTCACTTGATGAGCTGAGTCCTTCTTGAGAAGCTGCCAGTTACTCAACCACTCAAGATTTCCTAACATTTTATGAAAACTGAAGGTTCATTGCCATATTCACAAAAGTTCACCACTGGTGCATATCCTGATTCAAATTATGTAATCCAATCCATAACACCCCATCATGTTGCTCTAAGGTCTGTTTTAATATTATCCTCCCACATGGTCTTCCTAGTGGTCTCTTTCCTTCTGACTTTCCCACCAAAACCTTGTATACACTTCTTCACAATGCATGCTACTTGCCCTTCCCATCTTATCCACCTTGGCTTGATCATTCTGGTTTTATTTGGTTAAGAGTACAAGTTGTGAAGCTTCCCATTATGCAGTTTTCTCCAGTGTTATACTACTTATTTCCTCTTTGGTCCAAATATTTTCCTCAATATCCTGTTCTCAGAGTTCTCAGATGCTCTCAGTCTGTGCTCCTCCCTTAATGTCAAAGATATAGTTTCACATCCATATATAATACTACAGGCAAAATGTTATGTGTATGGGTGTGTGTATAGACGGGTTTTGGATTGATGACCAGATTTGTTGAACTCTTTGATACAGCATATGACTACACTTTACAGTTCACTGTTACACACACACACTAGTGTCCACAGTCACGTCTTCACTGCCATTGCTTGGTAGTGGTGAACGTTCCCCTTCCTCTGGGTTCCCGAACTGTCCCCGGCCTCAGCTACCAGCTTCTAACAGCAACAGCTCACGACTGAACTGCAGCAGCCAGAAAATCATATCTTCTTGTCACTTTCATGTTCCCACTTCATACTACCCAAAGATATATAGAAATGATAACTAAGTGTTGTGAGAAAAACTTACTTGCATTTCACTCTCTGTTTTTCATAAGCCAATGTGAAGTCAAAGTGTTAATGTGCCCTGAAATATGAATGACATACTGAATGAAAGCCTCACTTAAGAGCTTTTAGTTAGTTAATTCAGATCAGAGTTAACAAGCATTTAAGTGAATCAGAATGAGACAAAATTTAAGGAAATCTGAATCTTTCAAAATGCTGTATCTCCGCAGGAAAGTAAATTTCGTAGATGTCACTTCTGAAGGAGACCCAACAAGCTTTCAAAATTTTGTTAGAATCAGAAATGGTCATGAAAAGTTTGTCCCTACATTGGGTTCATTTTACAGGGAATGCTGTAGATCCAGTAATGGTAACAATTCATGTAGGTGGTGAATGGGTGGGTTGTTATGGGTGAATGGACAAGTTAATGGGAGGACAGATAGATTAATGAATGAAATATTAAGAGATTCTGTTGGGAAGTAGGTCATACAAATATTGTTACATATTAAGGACCTCATTAATATTTATAACCTTTGTCAGAAACCCTTTTGCACTTTTTAAAAATTCTGTAAGCTAATTTTGAGTGTCATGTAAAGTAACGTTGAATGGAAGCAGACCAAAATTATGTTGGCATGAAAACTTGTGATGTTAAATCTAATCGAAATCCATTGATAGGTTTAGAAGTGAAACATTGCAAGATTCTGCAGTATTCTGCAGTAAAATTTTATTGATCCAGACAGCAATTCTAACACATAGCATAATCTGAAAAAGTAAACTCTATTTTTTACTCTGATGCAACCTAGTTTCCATGCATTTTGTCTAGTCCTGACTAGTTTTATCCATAGGAGTTATCTGTTTGCAGGGTGTGCTCTGGCAGTGGGCATGTATTGTTGTTGCCCCCTCCCACTCTAAAGTGCCACCGCTATATGCACCTGAGCATGCTAACATTGGAGGATGGAGCAGGGGCAGTGTTGTCCCAAGGAGGGGCACAGGTTTCACTGGTAGAAGATGTAGAAAAAGGCCACCTTCCAGATGTGGTGGTTGAGACCAAAATGCTGGCTTCTCCTGATGCACATCATTCTGAGACTTACTTGTCAATAGCAATCCAAGTCTTCATCCCTTTCCTAATTGCTGGCTTTGGAATGGTGGGAGCTGGCCTAGTATTAGATGTAGTTCAGGTGAGTCTAGTAATACGTAGCAAACTTGCCAGTGTTTTGAAGATTAAATATGCTGTTTCATGCAGCATAGTGCAAATACACATAATTGAATGAATGACTTTCAATAAAATCAGTTACCAGTGAATTTTAGAGAAGATGTTGAAAGCAGCCCTCTTGACAGTTTAAGATATATCGTGAAGTCACCAGTGTTTGTATAATTTTTTAAATGATGATGTAAGACCCCGGGATTGCATGGATTATTCTAATGATGTTATGCTTTTAATTTTCTGCAGTGTTAAAAATCACATTTCATAGCTTGGAAACATGATGGGCTGTAAGTATTCTACTGGCTGATTATTCTTGGGAGCTTAATGAAGTATTCTACAATATGTGGTTCTGCATTGTGTTGATGATAATATGTGCAAATCTTAGAAAATGATTGTTTCGTGTCACGGGGTTTATTGCTGTCAGATGTGTTTCATGGGACCACTACACTAGAACTGTAATTTTACTAACCAGTGAACAAATATTGACTCAGTACATATGGTAGTGAGCTAGCTTTTTATTCTCACAGGTGCCTGTATATGAAGAAAGTGACAACAGAATATTGATTTGTGAGAAGTGTAAGTTGCCTGTTGTAAGGAGTCTTTCATCGTACATAAATGGATGCATCTTAAATGCTTGTTTTAGGAACAGCTTTAATTGGAATAAACAGTATTCTTACAGAACACTAACGTGGAGACACACCAGATGTGTAACAAAAATATCAGTAATATGGAAAATGTAGAAATGAAGGCTTTATTTTCTGTTGACTTGCCAGTTGTTGACTTTGCCCTATTTTCTATCAGAATTCTTATCCATTACTTCCATGTTTATAATTTATACCTTTTTTCTGTTATCATAACGATTTAAGTTAAAGTGCCTGTAAACCAACTGCATTGATTAATGCATTCTCCCATATTCATATTCATTGCAATTACAGTAATTTATTGAGTATTTATGAAAAATTGTACAAAGAATTGGTAACCTCATAAGTGGAACTGATTAGTGGTTTGTTTTTCTCTATGCGCCTTTAATTTAATTGTGACCTGTGCTTTCAGCAAATGCTGTGCATAGCTTAATGTTGCTTTATGAGTTTTTTAACACTCTCAGGGCCTCTTATTGGGTGCAATCTGCATTTGTTTTCTCGAACTCCATATCCAAGAAGTGAAAACTGATACACACATTCTGTTACTGTATCAGTGTCATATATTGTCATGTTAAATATCTCCCTTAGCACCACAACATGATATGTCTTGAGATTACGGAAGGAGAAAACGGCTTCCAGATATGGAAGGTAACTGCAAATATCTTGGATAAGCAAATGCAAACAGCCAGCAAGAAGTTGTCCTCAATTTATGAATGGGGGGTAGGTAGGTGTGGAGCCAAGAACTCTCCATCATGAAATACCACCACAGTACAAACAGCACAAGGCCTCAGAAGTGTACAGTTCTTTGAAATAACCTAAGCAATGAAAAATTCACGTGAGGTTTGGAATTTAGAATATCAGTCATAGGTCATATTAAGTGTAAGTTGGATTTAGTTGGAATAAATGCAGTCAGATGGGACAAGGGTGGCACTGAACTAGCATATATTAATTATATTAATCATCACATGGGGACAGGCTTTTCATATGTAAGTGAATCATGTCAGCAGTTTATAGAGGCTTTTAGTGGTAATGTTCTGAATGTGCATGCCCCAGATGAGGATAAAATGGACAGTTTTTATGAGGATTTGGAGTGTGTATTTGATCATTTCCTTAAGTTTCATTTGAAAATTTTGTTAGGAGATTTCAATTCAGAAACAGGGAGAGAAGTTACAGTATGTGGCTCAGTTACTTTGTTTATTTGCATATGAAATACAATAAAGTTTTAAGATAGGGATTGAAGGATATTTGTTACAAATCAAGACTTTCCTGTCACTAACTGTATTGCATATGAACCTATATTATAGCTGTATAGGAGCTGGGATAGCACAATCAGTATAACAACTGGCAATGGGCTGGACAGCTGAGTGGTTGAAGTTCAAATGCTGGTAAGGGAATGATTTTTCTCCTCTCCACGTTATCCAGACTAGTTCTGGGGACCAACCAGCCTCCTATCCAATGGGTACAGGGACTTTTTCCATAAGGGTAAAGCGGCTGGGGCATCCAACTAGTTCCGAGGTCAAGAATACCTGGATCTGTGCATCCACTCCACCATATATAATCATGGTGTAGTGCTTAGTGTGTTATTCACAAAGACATTTTTACCTTTTACCTTATTATAACTCTGCAAAGTACCATTTATCTTTTGCTGATCATTTTAGATTGTGAGAGTGTTTGATAAATCGTACAGAGACTTCCAGTATAAAATTTTACCAGAGTCAGTCTGATGGTTACTTAGTTATAAGATGACAGTTTTGGAAGTCTCACATTTAATTGTCTTGGAAACCTTAAGGCTTATGAAGTTTGTATGGTATAAATGTGTTTCATTGTCCTGTACAGCTGTTGCTCAAAAGGTTTCTCACTGGTGAATATTTAGCAAGTTGTGCTTGAGATGTGTCCAGAAATGCTTGTGAGATGTCATGTGAAGCATCAGATATTTGCCAATTTTAACCAGAATTGGAAATAGCACACTTATAATGATAGTACTCAAAAGTATTCTATTTTCTTTATTGTGATCTAAAGGAATTGATGGGTTTTACATTTTCAGCATTGGCTAGTGTTTGAGCAGATCACAGAAATAGTAATCTTGGTACCTGCTCTCCTTGGACTGAAGGGTAATCTTGAGATGACCCTTGCATCCCGTTTATCAACTCAAGCCAACCTTGGCCACATGGACACTCCAAAACAGCAGTGGAGTATGATTGTGGGCAATCTTACTTTAATACAGGTATATATCACTTTTATGACAGCTGATTTGCCTTAACCAGATTCAGTTTTATCATTAACAGCTTTCCATGAAGCTCATAGCCATGGGGCAGTTGCACTGTCACGAGAGCATTCATGTATGGTTTTTTATCTTACAAGATTTATGTAAGATATATTGTCTCAGTGCTCAACTTCAGTTTGAGCAGTTACTAATCAAAATGTTGTTAGTTTCAAGGTTTTCATGGTAGTGAATGACACAGGTCTGCAACCAAAAAAAACTGCATAGGATATTTTTTTACTGTTTCTTATAGATTTTTACTTACTAAAACCGGAAATAATAGTAAAAAATCCACCATGTCATTTTTTTTTGCAAAACTCATATTTTTACCTTAATTTTGCGTGAAATTTCTCTTCAACGTGAAATCTGGTATCCTATTGTTGATTCTAAAACCCATATCCAATAATTATTTCTTACTTTAAAATAATATTTATAAGAGTGAATCTAAAAAATAATACAAATAGAAAATGGGTGGGATGGGGGAGGGCAGTGAAAGGGGTTGGTAGGGTGGGTTTGGCGGTGTGAGGAGCTCAGGCGAGCATGTCCCAACACGTTTACTTTGTTTGTAGCGAAAGGTGAGGAATCTCACTAGCTCGGTTGAGCATGTTTGGACATGTTCTTTGGGGCAATAGGAATGAGTATAAACAAGCCTGCTCTCAGATTTGATCATGTCTCAACATGCTAAATAAGTTCAGGATCTTGGTTGATGTATAAGCCACTCAGTTTACATCCTGCATTCAAATGTGACTGTGCTTGTGTTTTAGCTCTGTATTATGGCTCAAAGAGGTTGTGTTATTTCTCCGGACAACTTTTGTTTTATTTGTGGTGAATACATAGTTAAAAGTCAACAGAGAAACAAGTGATTTTGTGAAGAAAGTGTATTTTGCTTATTTCAAATTGAAACTTGGGGATCAAGACAAACCTTGGGCTCCTCACAAGATGTGCAGAAGGTGCGAGGAAGATCTTCGTTTGTGTTTTAAGGGTAAGAAAAACTCATTTCGTTTTGGCATTCCTATGATGTGGCATGAACAGCAAAACCACACAACTGATTGTTATTTCTGTTCGGTAGATGTGAAAGGCTTTAATATAAAAAATAAAAAGAAAATATCTCACCCAAACCTTAATTCAGTTATTCGTCCAGTGTCTCATAGCTCTGAAATACCAGTTCCCCTCCCACCTTCCAGTTTGGATGATATACAGAGTGATTCGGAGGACAGAACTATATTACCACCCCAGGATAAATCCAGCTCAGATTTTTCTGTTGATGAGGGACCCCAACCTTTTTCTCAGAGTGAGCTCAATGACTTAGTTAGAGTTTTAGGCCTTTCCAAATATGCAGCCAAATTGCTAGGGTCAAGACTAAAAAATAAAAACTTGCTGTCACCAGGAACATCATTCTTGTAGTACAGGCACCGAGAGAAGGAATTCACTCAGTTTTTCTCCAAAGAGGGAAATGGGAGGAAAAGAAAAAGAAGCATGAGACTCCTTCAAAGATGTAGTGCACAAGTTTTTGGGGAACACTAAAGACCCTCTCTACAAAACCAATGTAAAACGCAGGTTGGCTGCATATAATGCTCAAGGTTGCAAGATGAGCTTAAAAGTTCATTTCTTACACTCCCGTGTCGACTATTTTCCCGAAAACTTGGGAGCCTGTAGTGAAGAGCAGGGTGAACGATTTCACCAGGATGTCTGTGATATTGAGAGACGCTACCAAGGAAGATGGAATGTGAATATGCTAGCTGACTACTGCTGGATGATTGAGCGGGAAACGGAAATTGGAAAGCAAAAGCATGTTCGGAGTAGCATCAGAGAGAAGAAGAAAAGGTTTCACAGGCAAAAAGACTGAACACAGAATGTTAAATATATTGTGAAGGAATTTTCTGTTTAATTATGAGAAATAATATGTTTAGTTCAATGTAATAAAATTAGTGATTTTTTCCATCACTGTTATGATTTTTTATTGTAAACCCCTATTATTTTCCAAAAAACCATACATGATAGGGGGAAATTGAGGTCATTTTTGGATTCAGCATCCTAGAAAACATAAAGTTTACCAAAAATATTCCATGCGGCTGAAAAAAAAAATTATTTTTGCAGACCTGTATGATCAGATTGTGGTCTTCTGTATGGTGACACTGTGTGATCTTGTAGGCGCTTGCCAACATATTTGAGGAACCTGCTGCTTCCATCGTAAGTGTTGAAGTGTCAAGGGTGATTGATCAGTTGGGTTATGCATACAAGTTTCAAGTAAGATGATCAATCAGTTCCATGTGAGGGGGTATGCAGAAAAAGGGCCTACAATTCTTGTTGGGCCAGACTAGGCTTGTATGGGTCTAAGTGATCACCATCCATGCAACCTTGCCTACATAACCTGATTCCCCACCTGATAAACTTCAAACATGAAGACGGAGGCAGTATATTCCTCTAAAATGTCAGTATTTGATTAAAACACTACATTCTGGTGATTCTTCCAAATGGAAGTAGGTTGATTGGGTTATATTGCAGTCATTTCATTCTTATAACTACATTTTGTGTAAGTATGGGAAGTACTGAATTATGTTTACAGGTTTGTCAGTACTTTCACCATTTTGTGATGTTTAACCTTTATGCTGCTGAGCCTGTAAAGTTATAGATACAATGTGGCACCCTTGTTACACCTTCTGCATCAGTACAGGTGTGAGAATTAGAAACATATATCTTTCAGATTAATTTTCTAAATGTGCTCAAACTGTCAGGATATATACTCCTTCTGTCATGACCTTTATGGTCTTAAACTCAGATATCTCTGCTGCATACTGGGGATACCCTGCCTTATATATCATCTGACCTGGGCCATCACAGGAGTAATACAAATGGTGTCTATGAGTATTCCAAAACAATCCTCATAATATAAGGCAAAAATAAATATCTGTTAATTCAATTTCTTCATTATTCCCATACATAAGGAAAATGGCAAAAATAAGTAAGAACATGGGGATATGCCTGGGCACTTAGCACTCAGCAGTAAAAGGATTAAATGCTCAGAAAGCGGCAGTCTGTATTTCGTATAATAACTTGGCCTTGTCATATATCATTAGTGACGGTGTTGATACACATGTTTCAAGTGAACATATGTCTCTCAGATCACAACAACTCCACTCCACTTGCTCAAACTTCATATGTTCAGCAGTTCCAACAGCAACAGGCAGGAATTTAAATAATACTTTATAGTAGAGGAGACTCAACTATCCACATGCAGATTAATTGCAAAAATGTAAAATGCCTTAGTGATTGATTATAGCTTTCCAAATGATTTGTTACCCATTGTATATCAGTTTTTATAATATGTATCAGGGATACTTTATATTGATATACAGAGGACCATACATCTTCTCACCCTTTTGCAGCACTCTCATAATTTTATCGTAATTTGTCTCACTGACGAATATCTTGATATTTCTGTGATGAGTGGCCAGTAGCAAAAGAGACTCTGCATCTGGAGTTTATTATAGGTTTTAATGTGACACAGACTTCAGTAAATTATTATGATTATCCATCTTTTTAATTCACTGTGCTATATCTCCCCTCCATTACCAAAGATAAGAGTTCACTGTGAATGTATTTCCGTAATGGCACTTGGGACCTGACATCCTGGGAGGGGGGGATTTCTGCTTGCTTACTTTGTAATATTACTTTCTTGTTGACTGATTAAGAAAATTGCTTAAAATAAATTTTGACTGAGCCATGATGCGCTGATTCTTCTTTTCTTTGGGGGGGGGGGAGGGCTTGAAGGCTGGAAAATATCAAGTGATAATCTAAACTCTTTTGATTTTCAGTGCCAGGCTATTGTTGTGGGATTCCTAGGCTCAGTTGTGGCGGTTGTGATGGGAGGAATCAAGACCAATAATTTTGAGCTGGATCATGCTTTCCTACTATGCGCAAGCAGTCTTGTCACTGCCTCCCTTGCAAGCTTTGTACTCGGTAAGTATGAAAGGCAGTGAACTAGATATGATAAATAATTACAATGCTTCTTTGTATGACAAGACATGTTAAAGGACATTTCACAGACCTGAAAATAAATATGAAACAATTTTTGACAGTTTGTAACAAAAATATAACACCAGAGTTTAGTTGTTTGAGGTAAGAGCTGTACACCCTTTCAGGATAATGGTCTTAGAATTTGGAAGATATGGTATTTTGTGTTTGAGAGCATTTATGAATATTTTTTATGTTTTTATTTTCATTTCAACTGATGAAGCAAATTAGTTTTTCTTGCTGCCATGATCATTAAGAAATGTAATATTGTGTTTCAGGTCTAATTACTGCTGCAGTGATTGTGTTTTCCCGACACTGTAACATCAACCCTGACAATGTGGCAACACCTATTGCTGCCAGTCTAGGAGACATCACTTCCCTCGCTCTGCTGTCTTGGATTTCTACAGTACTTTATGATGCCATTGGTAGGCTAGGAGCAGCTGTAGTCAAGAATTGGTGTGAAAGTTAATTCTTATGCTTGATCACCATTACATACTCTTCATAACCATGCTGTTTTTTGTCTTTCGGTTTGCATAATGTTTTTAGATGTTTTCAGAGTAACTTATGACACATATTTTCCTCCACATTCAGCTTTACAAAGGCACCAGCAGTGTGCACAAGTGGATAATTTTACAGTGTAATGATCAGTATTTATGTAAAATGATCATGAATATCCTCGTGTCAACTTGAGTACAAACTACCACAATATATTAGTGTGTAATCAGGTGCTCCATAACATTTATTTGAATGCATATTTTAGGGACAATGTTGAGTGCATATGCCATATATCATATCTTTATTGTTTGCATCCTGTTGTGGTTTTGTTTCAATCCATATTTTCATCATCATCAGGCAATATTCTTAAATATGTACATCACTCGTTACTGAATTATCCTAATATGGATCCATATTAGTGTTAATTGTTAAAAGTATGATACATGTAATTTTATCAGAAATTTTCTTTATTTATTTTTGCCCTATCATTATGATATTAGTTTCCGTGTTTCTTGTATGTTTCATATACAACACACCCCAAAGAGAAAACAACTCAATTACAATAGTACATAAGGAAATCAATGAGAAACATATATAATGAAACTAGTATAACATTGTACACAAATATCACTCATAACATATAAAAACAACGAATCCTGGAAAATACCATCATCTACGATACATGACACAAAACACAGAAACTAACAGCATAACAATGGGACAAAAAAATTACATGTATCATAATGAGTTTAACAATTGACACTAATATGGATTCATATTGGGATGATTCATTAATGAGTGATGTACATATTTAAGAATACTGACTGATGATGATCCACATAACGGATCAAAACATGTAGTAGTCACTAAATGAAACCAGTGTAACGCAGTGATATTAGACTCATTTATTTTCTATAAATCTGTTGTGTTGACAGCCAAAAAAAAAAAAAGGCATATGACTTCTTTGAACCTGGAATGATCGCTTTCAGTAAGTAGCTGCAGGAATAAAGGGATGTTCATTTCTTCTGTGAAGCTGTTCTTTTGAATTACAATGTTGAAAAGGCGAATAATTACTTTTTAGGAGATAAAAGGAGTCTCGGAAAATCTCAGAGGCAGCATGAAAACAGTTACTATCATGTTAAGAATGTTACTATTTCAGGAAAACAAGACTGGCTTGCTCCCTTGATCATATCTGGTTACATCCTTGTGACACCGCTGTGGGTGTGGATTGCCAAGAAAAACAAGCACACTCGTGAAGTATTGTACACAGGTTGGACACCTGTTATGGCTGCAATGTTGATCAGCAGGTAATTAACACAGTTATTCACATAATATTGGTATACAAATATCTGTGAAGAATATTCAGGTCATTTTTTTTTAATAGAAAAAGTGAAGAACTTTTAAGATTAGGAAAGAGAAAATTAGTTCATAAGAGTAAAATTGCAAGTGGACACCTTGATGTAGCAATTTAAGGTATGTTATATACAATTTGCAATTTAATTTTTTTTGGGGTGTGGGGTTTAAGTTAAATGTTTTATTAATACAACAGAACAGGATAATATAACACAACAGTGGTGTACACAATGACTGTAAAATTGCCTGAGGTGACTTGTGTTAGTTTCATCTTTATTCCCCTATTGTCATTCCTTTGCTTATTTATGTGATTTTATTTGAAGTGTGGGAGGTCTGATCCTGGACTTCATGGTAGTTCGGTTTGAAGGAATTGCAGTATTCCAGCCTGTGATAAATGGTGTTGGAGGAAATCTAGTTGCAGTCCAAGCCAGTCGTATATCCACAGCTCTGCACCGTGATGCACAGCTTGGCACATTAGCGGATGATGATACTGTTATCTTCATCACCCCAGCAGCAGGTTTCTTTGGCAAGGGTAGGTTATTTATATGCCAGTAGATGGATAGTAATAATAAAAAAATTATTTTTTACACACAAGATTAATAATACAGTTTTGTCAACAATGCAACTATTTTATTCCTTTCCTTTCCCTTTTACAACATATTTTGGCCCCAACCGGCCATCATCAGGTATCTTAATTTGCCAAAACTGTTATACTGCATTGAATATCACTCAATCACTCTACATGTAATTGCAATATTTCATGATATTAATGTTGTAGTCACAATCTAGCTAACATTAGTTGAATTACCATATGCTGTAGCTGAGCGGTCTCAGGTGTACTGTCTTCGCTCACTTGGAAGCCGGGATCATGGGTTAGAATCTCATACAAATCATGGATGTTTGATGTGTGTGCGTTTATTCTGTGTTTGTGTTGTCCTGTGTTCAGGTAGAGGCCTTGCAATTAGCTGATCACCTGTCCAAATAGTCCTACCATCTGTAAAAAATGATCAGTGAAACTGAGAAATCAGCCCTATGCTCCAAAGTTGGAGCAAAGAAGAAGAAAAAATGCGTACCATAAGATCTAATGGCTGACATGAAACATACGTTGTGCGTTCAAGTTCTAAGGTCTCTGATTTTTTTTCTCTCACAATAATCATACAAAAAATTTGAAACTTCTGTCAATTTTCAATGTAATCTCCCTGCAGCCGTACACATTTTTCACAATGTCGATGCCATGATTCCATGGCCACTGCGAACGCTTCTCTCTAGGAGTCTGTTTTGACCACTGGAAAATTGCTGATGCAATAGCGGATTGAAAAACGGTATCCATGTCTCATCCATTGTCACAGTTGATGAAAAGAAAGTCCCATTCATGCCTTCATCACATGTCAACATCGCCTGGCAAATTGCCGTGCGTGCAGCCTTGTGGTCATCCGCCAGAATTAGTGGCACCCACCTGGAGGACACTTTCCACATTCGCAGGTCTTCATGCAGGATTTTGTGCACAGATCCCACGGATCCTCCAAAACAACTTCCTCAACTTGCTCGATCATGTCAGACCGGCTGGTGCGAGGCTGAGATTGTTTTGGTTCGTTGTCACACGACGTTCGGCCTTCTTTGAACTGTCGCGCCTACGAACGCACATTTTTCACATTCATGACACCATCACCACACGTCTCACTCAACTGGCGATGAATTTCAGTGGGTGTCGCACCACGCAAGTGGAGAAAACGAAAGATTACTCGCTGTTCTTGTAACGAAAACATCGCCGTTTTAAGTATCAAAAACACTCCTCACTCTCGCCACTACCACTAGAGTTCTGTGTGCCATAGAGTGCTGCCATCTCTGTCACGCATTCACAAAGAGTGCACACGTATTTTAAACTTAACCGCATGTGTCTGTCTGCTCCCAGTCCTGAGAAAAAAAATCAGAGACCTTAGAACTTGAATGCCCCTCGTATTTGAGTAGAGATTTTTTCTCAGCTTCTTTCACAATATGAAGTCCAAGGTGAGGCCTATCCTGCACATATCTTATGCAGTGATAGACGCCTTGTTCCCCATTTTGAACCTGAGAACAATATGAAATCAGAATGTTTTTTATTAGAAAGATGGTTTCTGTTAAAGTAATCTAATATATAGAATGATTTTAAAACACTGTAATGTGTGTTGTGATGTTCCTTCATGTGTTCCATGTTTTGCAGTGATGTGATATAATGGGGGGACAACCTACACATGAATCATCTCTGACACAACCCAATGTCTGAGGCTTTATGCAGACTCTGCAACAGAAAACATCACATAGGCATCCCTGACTATATGTAACAGACCCAACCCCATTTAAGGTTCATAGTCCACACACACTGGCTACCAGAACATGTGGTGTAAGTACAGCTATATACAACACTATGGCTGAGACACTAAATAACAAAACAGACAGTGTGTAACATGTTCTTGACACATTTCAGGTAACCAAGATACCATCCACAAAATACACATTGGGGCAGAAAGCAGAACACAAGAAAGAACACTGCAACACACAATGTATAGTTTTAAATTATTTCAAAATAATTTTACATATTAAATCATTTTAACCCATACACTGCTGTGGTCGACATATATCGATCTCTGAAAAACATGGCGCCCTTTCTGTGATCAACAAAACCTGTATTGTGAATTTAGAGTTTCAAATCTCAGGTTTCTTTGCACCAATCTCATTCAAACTTGGTGGGTGCATAGAATCATCTATTGGAACGTAATGAAGCATCATTCATTTCAATGGCTGCATTCTTCTGTCCTCTAGCTTAAGAAATGTAAGAGGTTGCATCTGCACAGTGAGGCACATGCTCCGTGGTCATGTGGCGCAGGTATTTCACAGGGCTAGTAAAAATGGCTTCGTATAGTGTGCGGTGCTTTCTGTAATAGTTTTAAATGAAGTTCTGGACCTTGGTCAACATGTGACATAGTGATAAGACTAGGATAGTGAATTATGTACTTTTTTGGCCATCTTGGATAACCCTGATTTAATGGACTTTTACCCTGTGAAAAATACTGAATAATTCAACATTTTTGCAACTTCTGTTGCCTGATCCCTGTCTGAGGTAAGATTAGTTACATTTTATCACAAATTTTCATACTTTGCACTTAAATTATTTATAAAAGATATATTCAAAAATAATTCAGCACAGAGGGTACTGAGAGTTACTTAACATACTAGCAGTGAAAGAGTTAACAGGAACTAGTTTGTATTTTAAAATATAAAACTTCCAGATATACAACCCTCAGGAACCATATACTACGGTATAACATTTTGCTCATATCATCACATATACCTGATGATGGCCGAAACATGTTGTCCAGTTTAGATGAAAGCATGGGATAAATGGTGATTCAGTCTTCAGGTCTCAGAATCTTCCTTCCAGTGTCTCCCTTGGTTGTAACTCTTCTTCCTGTAGGTTTACAACTCCATGCTATCATTGAGCACTCATTTTCACCTGTTCTGCTTCCATATTCTTCTCATACTGTATGTTGTATTCTTTTTGTTAAAATCGCATGTTTTGAAGATTAGATTTTATTAATTGACAAATGTCTCTGATGTTCCATCTTATATGCAACACTTCTTAAAAATTTTGTTTAAAAGTTACTGCTGCTTATACATAATGCATATTTTAAACTTATTTTAAAAACCACATTTTTCACTACTTGTTTCAACCTTCATTGGCCATCATCAGATGTTTTTAAAAACAGTTGTGAGAAGACTGCTGTACTTGTGTTTTTTCTTCTAATGTAGGATATGTAGCACCATCATACCTTTGTGTTTTTCGTGGTGCTGTGTGTGAGCTGTATGGAACCCCAGCTATGTGTCACTCTTGGAAGCAAACAATCTGAATCATAAGCTTTGGATGGCATTCTCCAGACGTAAACTCGGCCAGAAGTCGGAAACAATGTGAAGGTGGACTCATCCAACCAAATGACCATCTTCCATTGTTCCATAGTCCAGGTTTTATGACTTCGGCACCACACTCTCCTCTTAGTGGCATTTTGATCACTGATGAGTGGCTTTGGAATTGAAGCTTGTCCAGAAATACCCTGCTTGTGGAGTTCCCTTCATCCTGTTTTGGTGCTGACAGGGTTTATGAGCATGACATTCAGTTCAACAGTCATTTTTGCAGCTGTAGTCTTCTTATTTTTCGTCACAATCCTACGCAATGTGCATCTGTCTCAATCACTCAACACACATTTCTGTCCACACTGGTGTTTATCAGATGCGGTTTTGCCAGTCCTGTTTGTGGTCATAATCTTGGATACTATGCCTCGCAAAACACCAAAAACCTCGGCTACCTTGGTTACGGAAGCACCCACCATACGGGCCCCAACAATTTGCCCGCTTTTGAATTCTGTTAGCTCTGACATGATGCACTAAAAACTGCACAGAACACTGTCTCAACAACAAATGAAGCTTGCAATGTATTGTGGAGGTTGTATAGGCAGTGGTATTGGGCAGATACGACAGCGTCACCTACAAACGTCACTAAAATAAACACTTCAATTCAGGCATGCATTTCACAAGATTTTTTCCATATTTTTGTAGTAACTTTTAAACAACATTTTTAAAAAGTGTTGCATATAAGATGGAACAACAGACATTTATTAATTAATTAATTATGTGTAACAGGATGCTACAATATATTGATATTAGATTTTATATAAAGCAGGCATTAGTAACAAAAGTTGAACTCAGTATTAACCTTGAATGATGAGGGCTGAGGAACTTCAGTCAGGTCATGAATGACACCTGTTACGGACACTCTTAATTAGCTGTTATGAACTCCATGTAAACCGAATAAGACTTGAAGATTATGGTGTTCTGGGACATGATGCCATGTACAGTGTCTGACAAATAACAAAACTGGGAACACTCTAAAGCTTGTCGCTCTGTGTTTGTTGGTGAGTGCTGCTAATTATAGGTTTATTCTTAATTCTCTGCAGTAGCAAACTTACCTTGGCAAGTCTAGTGAGTGCAGAGCTGTTGTGCTTTAACTAAAGTAATGTTTGGATAGCTGATCAGGAAAATGTGTGATAAATATTTGGGGGAGGGGGGAAGACATTTTTAACTTGGAAGCAACCAAACAAAATGCCTTTAATGGTGTAAACAGTATTCTAAACAAAGGGATAAAGGTTGAATTTGACAGCCAACCTGGACGTCCAACAACATCAGATCAGGTGAAAATGTCAAGAAGGTGAGAACTCAGGTGTGGAATGATTGATGTTTCAATATCAGATTGATCACAGAAGAACTTAGTATAAATAGAGAGAGGGTATGTTTGATTTTGATGGAAAATTTGTGTGAATGTGGTACCTAAGAATCTCATTAATTACCAGCTGCATCGGAGAAAAGAAGTTGATGCTAATTTTTGCAATGAATCGAGGAGGATGAATGGCTGAACAGAATCTTCACTGGTGATGTTAGTTGCGTTTTTTGTTATGACCCCGATACAAAGCAGGGCACATGGTAGTGTAATTGGTTGAGGCACCATGCTCCAAGCTGGGAGGTCACAGGTTTCGTTCCGGATGAGGTCACTGGATTTTTTCAATTGACCTAATCCTTAGAGCCACACTGGCCCTGGGGTTGACTCAGTGTCTAACAGAAGTGAGTACCAGGAATCTTCCTGGGGTAAAGAGCAGCTGGCGCATAAGGCTGACAACTTCACTGCAATCTGTGAGATGATTGCATAAAAAATGTGGGAGCCTCAGTGTCTCACAATGCTGTGGGCATCCACAGCGTGTTACAGGGTTAGCTTTACCAAATTTCCATACTTACCCTGCTCTAAGAAAGCATGGCTGTCAAAGTAAAGAGTCTTTGACTTCAAAGGGATAGTTCAGTGGGAGTTTGTCCCATCTGGTTAGACTCAGACATTTTATATCCAGGTTTATGAATGTTTCACACATTGTGTTCGTTGAGGGAGGCCGGAGAGACCACATTTTGAAACCACAGAAGAGATTCAGAAGGTTATGATGGCTGTTCTAAACAATGGGCTGGAGAATGACTTCTGGAAATTCTTTGACCTTTGTAAACAATACTAGAATTTATATATAGTGGTAGGAATTTTTAGACTTCATAGTTTGGTAATAGGTCCCGGTGTTCAGAAGGACTCAGTGCCTCCACCTTCTACCCTGAAGACACTGAAGACAGGTAGCAGGTTCATCTGAAACCTTGGTACCTATCTGCCAGATTATATGGCATCAAATTGCAGAAGACATAATCTTCATATTCACTGCCATGACCACCTCAGATCTTACATGAGTAACATTTAAGTAAGAACAAGAGCCAAAATCACTGTGAATGGTGTACAGTGAAACCTCGATTCATCATTTTGTCAGGGGGCCTGAGAAAAATAAAACGATGGATACAGAAAAATGATAGATGTGGGGGACTGTACAAACTGAACAAAATGGTCACATTTGCCTGTATGTATTTACTAAATCAAAAAACGTACACCAACGACATTATTTCCACTATTAAGTCCAGCCAGCCCCTTGCCTTCCAGCTCATTGTCCAGTAGGTAAGATGTGCTCAAGGTCTCATAGCACACAGCTAATGGTTCAGGGCCAAAACTGAAACACGTACACCACATTTCAAAAACTTAACCGCTGATACTATTACCAATACGTACATTTGTATGTGTTGTGTTGCTCTTTCATAAAAATCTGGGATTAACGTTCTTCGGAACTAAAAATTCTGACCAATAGATGGCAGGAAAACAATAAATCAAAGAACAATTGATACAGGTTTAAGTGGAATTTGTTCAGGGTCCACAGAAATTAAATGATGGATCTAAGAATGATAGATAGAGGTTTCACCGTATAAGGAAACGGTGGAACAGCAGGGCAATGATGTCTCATATAAAGACATAGTGTAAGCTAAGGTTTATCCTGTCATGGTTCACTGTAGAAGCTGAGTAGTGTAGAACCACATCTGATGGTAATTATGAGTTTAAATTGGAAAGGAAGTATATTTCCAGGACTGCAAGAGTGAAAGTGAAAAGCTTCAGGTTTGCTGATTCCCAGACCAAAATTTGAACCCACTGTATGCTGAATGAAAGTCGGACACATTGCCATGAAGATGAATGCACTCAGTAAAGAACTGCTGGATTCTTTTGACACAATGTACACTTCATTTTCTGCCTTGGCAGAATACATATTGCCAGGAACAGAAGGAAGGCCAAAAAAACCCTACCCACTCTGCTCTGCAGAAATATATGAGAGCAAATCAAACTCTGCTTGTTTCATATAATTTATGATGTGTAATGATGCTATAGCAACTGCATAGGTTATGTAGTGTTCATGAGATAATAGTGTGATTTATATGTGACAACTGAAGATGAACTGCTGGTAGTTGGGTATTTGAAGATACTGTCTTGGTAAGGAGAGACAGTGCCCTGTTCATACTGATTACAGTGAATGTGTGTTCCAGGTATCCATGCTCGAACGACCCGTGTTCTCATGCTCATGGTGATTCCAGGCCACATCATTTTCATCTATACTATCAGGTGTATGAAGGCTGGGCACACATCTTTATCACCACTCTTTGTCATAGTATACCTTATTGCTGCTTTAGTGCAGGTATCTTATATTCTATATATACTATATATTGAGGGTATTTTGACCTAAGGGAGAGAAAGTTGGAGGCTGGAATAGTTTGTTTAATGAGGGATTTCACACTCTGTATTCATTAAATATTTAAATCAGAGGGGACAAGGTGATCAGGATATGTGCCATGAAATGCTTGAAATACGTACACGGTTTTGGTTACTGAAATGTTTGATGAACAGATAGTTGGAAGACTGGGGGCGTATTGTGGAGATAATATCAAAATTAATAGTAGAGAATTAGACTGTGTTGCATTGTGAACTGACTCAAGATATGGCCCAATCTATTAGAGGCTTTAAAAATACAATGAAGGGAAACTCATTATTTGTGTTAATTTGTTGAATTTTTCTGCAAAGGTAAATGTGTAAGGTATTTTCATGTTGGCTTCATATTGACCCACATGCATGAAGTAGGTCCTTTTTTGCTCTTGTGTGGAGGGGATATGAAGATATTTCTCTGTTGGCCCCTTTGGTTATGCCTACTTTCATGCCCTAGACAACAACAGTATTCAGAAACAAAGTATGAAAACTTTACAGTGAGCAGGAGATGCCTGAAAATTACTGAAATCAAGTGGAATAATTGCTGTCAGGTATGGGAGTTGGTTACTGTTGGAGGCAAATCTGCAAATCATTTACTATTTCTGATACTGTATTGTGCCACAAAAGCTTACTCCACTAGTCCCTTCCATGGCTTATCCATTTTCCTGTAACCTCTGAAGAACACAGTAGTGCTTTCTGTTAGTGTGACTGCTTATTTCAACATGAATTGGTTTACTTTTAGAACATTTTTATCAGGTCTTGGCACCTGACCATGGTTACAGCAAAGTTCAGCACAGTTTTCCTGAATGTGAGGAAGCAATTTGCAAAGAGAGGTGACAGTGTAATGAATGAAGCTTTTGTGTCCTGGTGGCATGACTTTAGAATTCTCAGCTCTAAAGCCTTCAAAACTATAAGGATGAAGGCATCAGAGTTGCCTTGTTTCTGAGGACCTGGGTGGAGCTTAAGAGTGTGGGCCTCCTACATGGATATACCTCTGACAGTCATACACCCTCTATTCCACTCAGCATCAACCATAAACACACCATATGTGCTCACACATCAGTTATCAATTTAAATTGCGAAAGCCTCTTGGTGACGATCTTATAATAGATGATCTTTCTTCTCAATTATTTATTTTTATGTGTTTATTCAATTATTTCTCTTATCATTTAGATTGTATCTGTAAGATTGTGACTATGATTATGTATTGATGAAATTACTATTTGCGGTTACAAATTTTGGCTGCTAAAGGGAGACTGAGGCCTTGGAAGTCTTGGGCTCAGAATATGGCTGAAATTCTCCGATGCCATAGTAATATAGTAACTGCACCCCTGGCCCCTGGACAGAGGTTTTCAATGGCGAAAACTTAATGCCAGTAGTGCAAGGAACATATTTTCTGTGGTATTTTTTAGGTATTGTCATGGTATCACTTAGCTGATAACATGGCTAATGTAGCCTTTATATGAAGGTTTCCACAGCCAGACAAAGGGGCTGATTGTGTATGATGTGTGTGGTTTCTATTATTATTTCAGGTTGCTGCTCTACTGTACATTGCCTACATAATGATACATTGGATGTGGAAACGCAAGATTGATCCGGACAATTCTGCGATCCCATACCTAACTTCTCTTGGAGACTTGTTAGGGATCAGCTTGTTGGCCATTGCATTTCATTTTCTATATTTAGTTGGAGATAGAGATACAGATGTGGGAGACTAAACTCTCATTGAGAGGCCTTACTGATGATCCATTCATTTTTATGTATGAATATGAACTAGGAAACCTTGTTTCAAGGAACAAGAGTTTTAACTTTTAAAATAATTTTGTTCACACAGGAACTATTTAGGAATATTTAAAGATGAACCAAAGGATGGAGACTGAGAGAACCTTCATTGAATTCAGTATTCCTCGAAACTAGGAAAGCTTTCTCCTTTATGTTCCAATGTGTCATTTTTATTGAAGAAAAGTTTTATTTATAAAATTTTGTTTGTACATGAACCATATAGGAAGACTAAAGTTAGTTCACAATGATGGAGACTTACAGAACCTTGACACAGAAGTTCAGCATTCTTGTATACAGTTTTTGATAAGGCCCTTTGTTAGAGTGATCAATTATCACTTAATAAAATTAAAACCTTTTCCTCGAAATGACTAAACTATGCCTGTCCAGTTTTATTCAGTTGATTACCCCATGACTTACATGCAGTAATGTCACTTTTGCTTTTGTATTGACTTTGGGACACATTCTGGAGAACATTTGTAAGACAGTAAGTAGTTTTATAAAACTGGAAATGAATGCATCTTTACTTTATGGTTCCTTAGTCTTCCACATGTGACCAGTGTAATACTTCTTAATGCATTTGTAAGTCAGATGTTGGGAAACCAGAGATGTCTGTGTTATTTAAACAAATTGTCAGTCTTTTACCACAAGATTTTAATTAGAGGTGTTTGTTTTCATATTTTAGAGGTTTTGTTTGTGACCATAGTACATATGCAATTGGTAGTCCCATGACATCAGAACCCTAAAAAATTATGAATTAATTATGACATATTTGAGAATTCTGAATTTGACTTCAGGAAATATTGCTGTGAATTACTGTTTGAATCACTTATGCTTATATTGAAATAATTTATTGTTAAAATCTAAATATGTTTATTTTATGCCCCATACATTTGTTCATGTATACCTTATAAGTTTAAATGAGTGGATAAAATGTTGCTGCATAATTCCAGAAGATTATATATTGGCAGTACAATCATAATATCTAGTATTTAGGAAGTGTGCACTACAGTCTTCAGGTTAGTGTAATTTTAAGTTAGTTAAGATTTGTTTTTAATGAAATAATTGCCCCATCTAACCATAGCAGTTGAGTTGCATTTGATCCTGTCAGTCTTCTCTGCCTGGAGTGAACCATTTACCTGGGGAGTTCTATCTGCTATAGTGTAATCTACCCTGGGTAGTTCCTTTCAGCCATGTAATTCTGAATACTTTACAATGCAAAATCTAAACTATCTTAAAAAATTATGATTATTGTAAAGTCCAGTAAACAATCTTATTTACATACACTTGATCTATTGTGCGCCATTGTAGGAACACTCAAGCACAAAGTGATCTCAACCTGCCACCTGAACAATGGAGAAAAATTGGATAGATGGCAGGTATTATGCTGTGTGTTCTATGTAGTGCTGCCACCTAAATAATGAAATTCTAACTAATAAAAGTTCCAGCTTTTTAGCTAGTCATACCCAAGACCTATATGCGATTTAAATTAAAGTATGTAATGGCATATCATACCTATTGTGTTATCAGTGGACCATGATTGAACATTCTCTCATACCCAGCCAGAAGTTTAATGATATTCCATTTGGATATTTAGAACCACTTATGGTTAAAAGACGCATGTTTCACATAATTGTTTATCTTCCCTTTTCTCTTTCCTGGAAGTCATTTTGGAATGCAGTGAAATCCTTGTTTAATGACTCTCTGGGTGAATGACTTTTTCTTACACTAAACTGAGTTTCTCATTAAATGGGGGTTATGAAAAATGTCAAGAAAGTGTTCTTTTTCTTATAATGGCATACTGTGTATAATTCTCTTTACATATATAAAAGCCCACGGCTAACTGGAATGTCCACATAGAAAGCTGTGGAAGTAGCCATGGAATTAGCTGTCAGGCAGCATTGCAGTTATGACCTTCATGGAAAACAAATTTCCGTTGTTGATAGCGTGTATTTGCAGTGAAAATGTGATTTAGTGTGTATGAGATTGATAAGTGGATGCATAATATGTGGAAACTGTAGCGGAAGGTGGGAGTTATTTATTTTGAGGGCTCTCCATTTTTTCTATTCCCCCCCACCAATTTCTCTCTGTGAAGAACAACTTGTGGCTGCACATTAAGAGTTATCTGATTAACCACCAGGCAGCAATGAATTGCAGAAATAAACTGTCCATTCTCAATAATGTGCATCTTCATTGAAATTGTAATTTAATGTATATAAAACGTGGCTCAGTGGAGGGATAATTTTGGGAGACTGCAGCTATGAATGGCAGATGTTTGGTTTGAAGCCTTGGTATATTGGTGAATGAAGGCAATTCAAGGTATTTAGTTATACAGTGATTGGGAAATGTTACTCTTTATTTATTTTGACATCTTTCTGAATAATGTGCAGCTAAATATTAATACAGTGGGAGGTAATAAAATTTAAATGGTGAAAAATGGAGTGTGGGATGGTAGTGTGGAAATAATAACTATTATTGGGATTTCTAATGTGTGTGTGTCAGTATTTATTTTGTACCTGAAGGTCAAATCACTGAAGCACCAACTGTTATAATTGGTTGAGACTGAAAGAACTGTATCTTTAATGTTCAGTGGTGAACTAGAAGATGTCTATTGTGATGCCCTGTTACCAGTTGAAAAAGATGGGTTAGGTATTTTGATGAAGTTTGCTTATAGAAATAAGCTAGTTTTGCCAGAAACATTCCGTCAAACTAGGAGCAGCGTATTGTTATTCTGTCAAGTTTAGTACTGTAGTATAAATGAAGCAGGCTTTTCAAAATGTTTCAGTTAGGCATTTTTGATAAAGTTTGTTTATAATAGTGTCTGTGCTCAAATTTCATTAGGAGTTATGCAATTGATTGAAATCTGTGTTTTACGCAACTTGTTAAAGCTCCTCTTTCTTCAGAAATAAATACTGTTACATGATTAGTGACATGAAATTACTTTCTGAAATAATTAATGGCATATGGTATAAACACTGCTATGAAGGAACTGTCTGTACACATAAATAAAATTACACAGTCAGTGTTTTAATTCATTAAAAAAATAATAACTTACAAAATTAACACAGTGATTGTGTGGGAACAGTTTCCCACAGAGAGAAAATGTGAATATCTGTTGCTGTTTTTGACCACATTAAATTGAGATGTAAGTTCTAGAGGGCTAAAAATTTCGCACACCAAAGATGGGTTGCACATTAAATAAAAATTCACTAAATACAGGAAATTATACATTGTTTATATTGGGATTCAGCTGGGACCAGATGGCTAGAGTAGTTGCAAGTTCTGTACAAGTTACTCTTGAAATGGTCACATTCATAGCTTGTGAGTGGTGGCTGGGTATGGGAAATAGAAGACTCTTAAGTTATATTCCAAATCACACTACTATTGATTCTTAGAAGAATGAATTCATCCTTCGTTCATGCCTCTGAAAGGACTCCATAACAGTGGTGTGGAATTATTCTTGCATCTTGTATTTTGGATGTGCATTATGGAAATTGCAGGTATGTCACATTCACATATCCCCTTGCTGCCATGTCCTGTGCCTCAACAAAGGAGTGAACAAAGCATGCATTACATGTTATCTTGAATATATCGGAAATTATACAATGCCAAAAATACAGTAGAATTTACATTCCCATCACCTGACAGGTTGAAGTATACAGCACGTTATTTTATGTAAATGTTCTGTTCTGCTACATGTCACTGAAGTGAAAGGAAACCTTATGTGTAGCTTGTTGAAACTTGAAAAATAATACAGTGATAATGCATCTTTAACTTTTTCTGTGCCTTGTCAGTTTCAAATGTAGTAAGTTCAAAATCCAGATTTTGTGGAAAAATTGGCTGTTCGAGCAGGTAAAATCCCACTACAAGAACAGAATATTAAACATGTGAAAAGACGTTATGATGTAAAGCTTAAATTCTAAATGGGCTGCTTGCAGTCTTCATGATGCAGTATTGTTGTCCGTACAGATTTTGTTACAATGTAAGCTTGTGACATTGAGTGTGCTTTTCCTGGAAGTGATATGAAAATATGAGAACTTAGAAAAGCACATATACACCTTTTGTTGTAAAGATGAGAATTGCAGAGTGCAGAACTGTTAGATTTCTCTTGATCTTGTGATATGGTATAAATTTCTAATTTTCTCCAGGTTGAGCACAAGAAATAATTTGATTATGGTCCTGTTGGGAGTCATTGTAGTATACAGGGTGTCCCAGGAGGAATGTGCCAAACTTCGGGAGGGTGTTCCTTATGTTAAAGTATGCCGATATAACCCAAAACACCTATGTCCAAAGTTGAACGGTTACGGAGATAATGGCCAGAGAAGTGTCAAACTTTGACCGGGGTTACACANCCAAACTATGTAGCCCCATTCCCTGAAGACTGATATCTTGATTCTCATCACTGTGCGAACCTGAAGTCTTGGAAACTGTTTCCTTGTCATTTAAAAAAAATATAGATTAATTGCTGATAGCAGGGTCCCTTTTGTAGGGTTACAATGTCTAATTTAAATTCTGCACAAACATTATGTATAATGCAGCTTTATAAGTTAATGAGAAAGACAGCTGTTCATTCAGATATGATTTGATTACAGGAGACTGGTCATCAGACTGCATTTTCTGAAGAATACAATTTCCCCGAATGGTGGTTACCAAAATGTGTTTGCACTTCTGTTTGGCATTATAGATCTAGTTTGGATGATAATTTTGAACATCTTCAATAAGTAGAGCTTGATGACTTCACTACTACCAGTTTTGCTTCCTGTTGTAGTTTTCTGCTATTAATGTGATACATGTAAAAGGTGATATCACAAATAATGGTGACATTATTCTAGGACACACTGTAAGAGATCAATACATTGAACATATGCTTATTTTTTGATGGTACAACATTCATGTGAACATGCACAATTCTTTTGCCAAATCAGGATAAAAATATGTCCTTTGCAATGAAAAATGTATACTTTTTATGTTGCTGGTGTACTATATAAACCTGTTGAGCTGCTTTCTNGCATTCATGTGAACATGCACAATTCTTTTGCCAAATCAGGATAAAATATGTCCTTTGCAATGAAAAATGTATATTTTTTATGTTGCTGGTGTACTATATAAACCTGTTGAGCTGCTTTCTTTGGTTTTTCTAATCCATTATTTAGCAAATGAAAGTAGCATAAATGCTGTATTTAGGAGGTACTCAGTTGAGTCCCATGCATACTTAATGGCTGTCCTAACTTGTTGCATGGTTTTAACAAGTCACTTCAGGTCAATCCAAAGATAGTACTTTCCATGTTCTTCCCTCTTCTCCTATTAAATATTATATCGACTGAGTCTTAATTAAAAAATTAAAAAAGTGAAGCTATTCCTGTAACAGGCTATGGAAGCTCATAGGGTTGTGAGATGCTGGCCAGCCGCCCGCCCTTTACCCCCCAGGAAGATTCTAGTACTCATTTCTGTTAGAGGCTGAGTTAACCCCACGGCCATAGCATAGCCAAAAGGATTAGTTCAATTGAAAAAAATCCAATGACTTCATTAGGAATCAAATCAACAACTTTCCAGCTTGCAGTATAGTGCCTCAACCAACTATGCTGCCGCATGCCCCACAAGTCTTAATTCCATACAATAAATATAAACATCATGTCCCACACTTACAGGGAAGCAGAAATGTTCAGATAAATACACTATGACATGTAGACCCGTTCCTAGGCAATGACCATGAAAGAAGCAACTATAAAACAGCCATTATTAAGTAAGGCTCCACAAACGAGCATGGTCCCATGGAAACAATAATGGGAAGCGGTGTTTTCTGCATGGTCCATATCGGGATGTTATAAGCAGGAAAATTCAGTGAGTCAGTGAGTTGGTTGATGCATGAATGAATTAGCCGGATAACTGCTGGAGCTCAGTTGCTGTGAGAAGCTGGAACCTGAGGCCAGGGACAGTTTGGGAACCCAGAGGAAGGGGAACATCCACCATTGGAAGCTGCTCCCAAGCAATAGCACTAAAGATATGATTTTGCACACTAGTGTGTATGCGTTGATGCGAGAGATCAGATGCTTTATCAAAGAGCCTAATAACAGAAGTAATTTGTCTCTTGTGTCTTACTGTAGTACCACTTCGACCAGGTAAAAACCCATTTGCAGTTAAAATAATAATAAAAAAGACATCAATCCAAAATCTATCTACAGTCAGTCAGTCACATGACAATATGATCTTCACTGCTTCATTAATAAGATACAACAACACTGCATAAGGCAGCTATGAAGCGGTGTTTCGGCAGGAATAATTGGTGGCCTCCTAGGTCCTTATGGGCTAACACATCAGATATTGGGGACCTCCTATTTAGTTTCTCTCTTGATAGTTGCAGCAACTATTGGACAACATACCAATGGCATACATTGTGTGTACTGCATGATCAGACTCCAGCCCAGTCTTCTCACAATGTCATGGTAATTAGCTGCACCTAAGTTGGTGGACTGGATGAAACAGATCAGTTGCGTGACTTCTGCAATTATCTGATCGTACTCCTGCCCACTTCTACTCATAAGGGTCCTCTGAAGAGCATCATTTACACCCAGCGATGTAACATGGGACAAGCTGCAGAATGCCATTGAAGTGGCTGGGAGGACTATACACAACATGCCTGATTTCTTTGAGAGGAGCAGGAATTCTTGCTACAACAAGGCCCTTATGCATTGACTGTAATGGTGGACTGTTTCAGCATCTTCTCTGAAGAAACTGGCCAGATACCATTATGTTCATAGCTGATAAACTGTGTCCACATCTACATTATTTGTCTACTTTGTTTCCTCATGCTTCTTGTTGCCATATCTTGCTAATGAAACAGTTGCAACCATATATTTATATGAATATTTCTGTTTGGTTAGAGATGCATATACAGTAGAACTTGGTTATAACGTCATCAAAGGGACGTAAAATAGTGTCGTTATAAACGAATGTCGTTGTAACCGAAATGGGCACTTCCACAGTAGCCTTATGTTAGTCACGTAAAAATCTACCAAAAACCGAGTTAAAATGTTGCATTTTTTAGTGAAATACGTAGTTAAGTACAGACTAACGTAACATTAACGTGGAATTGCCCAAATGTGTAATATCAAAGACATGTTACAGCGCTTTTCACTGACAATACACACAATATTTCACGAATCATTTTAACTTTCTCTTCAATGTTTAAAACTTTCCTTTTCATTGCCATGTTTTCGCTACTGCACTTCTCTGGGTTTAGGCAGGAACACTATAGGGTAAGTAGACAATGTGAGGTCCTGTTAGACGAGATTCTAGGAAAGGAATGCAGTTAACAACCTGCCGCGTCCTCTTGCACTATTCACGCAGTCCCACCCCACACCCTTGTTTTCGCATAAAACCCACGCTCCTCTTGCAGCCCGCGGTCGTATTCTTCCAGGACAGTGACGTCAGCAAGTAGAGAAAGTGAGGGTGGGCAGACACATCGAACTTTCCCACGATATCAGAGAAATTCAGGAATGAAAATGACGTTACGTACGAGGTTGATGCATTTGTGCATGTCGTACTAAGCAAGGTATAAAAACAGTTGCTTTATGAGGAATTAGTTCGTACCATTGAATATTTGACGCAATAGACAAGGTGTCGCAGAAAGCGATGTTGCTATAACCAAGTTTTACTGTAATTGTATTCATGATACGCAATTAGACTCACTCTGTATAATCTGTAGGCCGTGCCACAGCTCATATTCTTAGGCACTGGCTTCTAATTGCATAGCCTTGGATTCGATCCCAGATGACGCCATGTGAAATTCACCGTGGAAGCGGGACTGGAGCAGAATTTTCTTCTGTTACTCATTCCACCATTGGTCCATACTCCTCTGTTACCTGTCCCTGAGGTGTGTGATAGCCATGTTCAAGCAGAACTTAGGAGTTTCAAAATTTTTACTCCCCTCGAATTATAATTAGAATGATCAAGTCAAGGAGGAAGAGATTGGCAGGGCATGTAGCATGAATGGAGAAGAAGATGAATGCATATAGGATATTGGTTGGAAAGCCAGAAGGAAAGAGACCACTGGGAAGACCAAGATGTGGGTTTCCAGACAATATTAAAATTGATCTTAGAGAGATGGATTGGATTGATCTGGCTCAGCATATGGACCAGTAGAGAGCTCTTGTGAACACAGTAATGAACCTTCTGGGTCTATTAAATGCTGGGAAGTTCTTGAGTAGCTGTACAATTGGCAGCTTCTGAAGAAGGGCTCAGCTCCATGAGTGGGTATGATCAGTACATAACATGATGCCTTCTGTTTTCTTTACAAATACTGGATGAGTTCATGCTTGTGTGAGAGATGTGTCTCAGTGAGCTGGAGCCAGTTACAGAGTTATCTGTAAACAGGCCTGAAAAACAGTATTCAGTGTGTATAATTAAAAGTGTTTGCACTCTCTCTCTGTCTCTCTAAAGAAAACTGGATTTCTCACAGTGCTGACATAACAGCTGAAGTAAAATAGGGACATCACAGAAAAACAGAACCTTTGTAATGGAAAAAATTGAGATACCAGTGAATGAAGAGATGGGTAGGGGAAGACAAAATGTTTGGTCTTTCTGCATAAAGCATGTACCCAAAATAATTTTTTTATTATTATTTATTTCATCCATAGCTGTAGAGAATTACAATTGGACATGTCAAATATCAACAACCTCGCATCAAAAATAACATAACATTCACACAGTGATTCATCACTGTAATACAGCAATACATTTTGAACTTAATTTAAGAATAATAAATACTCCAAAAAAGACATAAGAATAAATATTTTAAACATATAGACAGATTTATTAACAAGCAGTCTATGTCAACAATTAATTATAATAGTAAATACTCCAAAAAAGGCATAAAAATATACAGACAGATTTATCAACAAGCAGTTCATGTCAACAGTTATTAAAAAATTCTTGAAGAGAATAGAAGACATTACACAACAAATAATTCTTAAGTTTCTTCTTAAAAACATTAAAATGTATTATATTCTTTAATTCAGTTGGAAGGCCATTAAATATTTTGGTTCCCATACTAATCACCCCTCTCTCGCTATGCTCAGTATTACAAAATTGTACCTACAAATTGTGTTTATGAATAGTGTTATAGCCATGAACATCAGAATACCAGGTGGTATAAATCTTATTTTTTATTATAAAACAGGATCTGAAAAATATATAAGGAAGTAACACTTAAAATCTTTAATCCACGAAACAAATTTCTATAGGAAACTCTATTTTTAACACCTTTTATCACCCTTACACATTTTTTCTGCAGTTTAAATAGTTTCAGAGTACTTTTGCACCCTACCCCAAAAATAATACTGTATTTCAACACGGATTCAAATTTTGCAAGATGCATACTTCTTAAAACAGTTTGGCTCACTGAGTCCCATAGGGATTTTATCAAATAGGTAGTCTTGCTAAGTTTTTGACACACACATTGGGTGTGGGTTGCCCAACTTAAATCTTCAGTAATGCAAATACCCAAAAATTTTATATCCACTGAACAAACCACCTCCTCATTATTTATATAAAAAAGGAGTCTGGTACTTGGAATAGATCTACTTCCCCGAAAAAATAATACCTTTGACTTATCCATGTTTATTATTAAATGATTTTCATAAAACCAATTTTATAATTGATTCTTTACATTTTGAATTTTTTCATTTAATGATAAAATATTTTTTCCAGTAATCAATATATTTGTATCATCAGCAAATAGTACTACCTCTGCATTATGTATAACTTGGGGCAGATCATTTATAAATAATAGGAATAAAAGGGGTCCCAAAACAGAACCTTGAGGTACACCATATTTAATTGCTTTAAGGGATGAGGTAACTGTCTTCATTTTTTAAGTCTTTTGATCCATATAGTGAATGTCAACAAACTGTTATCTATCTGTAAGATACACAACAAAATATCAGTGCCAACATGTTAAGAGGATTTTAAAATACACTTCATCAGAAGAATAATGGTGGGTATGGGTAAGGATGTCTCCACTCTGGCTGCGCCATAGCTCAAGCGGTTAGTTGCTGGCTTCCCAACGCAGCGGCCCGGGTTCAATCCTGGGTCTGGTCAAGTGGTGCTGGGACAGGTTTTGTAATTGTAATTTATTTCAAGTTCGAGATGATCCAATAAAACTGGTTACAAACCATAGGATATAGAACATGTCAAATATTAATTAAAATATGTCAAGATAAGCAGAAGAACATAAAAGTGCAATACAATCATAAGTACAGTTCAGGTATAAGTTGAGCTCAAGTAAATAATTAGAACATGTCAAAATTATAAAGCAATAAAATAAATGATATAAAAACAATAAAACTATTATACAGATAGACTCATATAATTCAATATAGAGTAACATACTATTCATATAAAACCATTAGTTTACAACATCATTCATTAACACTATAATACTCCTCCAAGTCATAAAAACAATGGGTAATCAAGTATCTTCTTAAATAAATCTTAAATTGCTTGTGTATCCCAACAATCCCCTTTATTTCAAGAGGCAGTTTTTTAAATAACTTTATACCTGTAAACAAACACCTTTTTGGTACAGTGTTAAGGTGGAAGTTGGGAGATATAAATTACTACTCTGCCTTGTCTGGAGATTATGTGCATCATGATTAGTAGTGAAAAGTTTTCTATTCTTTGATACAAAGAGCAAAACTGAATAAATATATTGTGATTTCAGTGGTAAAATTCCAAGCTGCCTGAAAAGATTTCTACATGAATGCCTATTACAATATCCTGTCATTAAACAAACTGCTTTCTTTTGTATCATAGTTTCTTGGTATTGGTTGCCTGCCCCCAAAATACAATTCCATATTATAGTATAGAATGAAACAGAGAATCATATATCTTCAGCAACAATGAGCCTGACATAAGGTTTGACAGATCTTATCATAAAGCAAACTGTAGTTAGTTTGTTAATAATATTCCAAGAGAGGATGTTATCAACTTCCAAATCAAGAAATTTGTGATGAGAGACTTCCACTTCTCAGAGTACTTCGATTTCCCCTGCCAATCTTCATTCCACCAAATTCTCCATCATCATAATCACCCGGAGCAGGCTACAATAGACCGATCAGTGGCCGCCGTGCCGAATGAACCCAATTGAACTCCAGCCCCCACTAAGTGGAAAAAAAAAGGGGGGGGCTGTCTCCAAATGCTCAAAAGTATTGCAGCGAATGTTGTACCTTTATTTTATCCAGGCAAAAGTATTTTCACGAGCTCATATCTGCAAGACGGCACACCGCGACATTTCCGTTCTCTGCAACATTTACTGAACGTTGGAGGGGCAGGTGTGGTTAAATTCTGTGCTAACTTATGATCTACGATTTCACACAGCTTGATTGTGTGTGTGGGGGGGAGGCTTTATAAAGAATTACGTTAATGGGGCCAAAATTCGAGGTATGAATAATCTGAAAGTAAAAATTTAAGCCGATGTGCACGTAACCGAAGACATCCTACAGCTCTCATGGCTAGTTGCATATCGATTGAACACACGTTTGATGTGCAAGATCACCAATAGTGCACACATGGAGACTTACTAATTATGTTCAAAACTATCATATGTACCTTTAAAATAAAATATTAATTTCTAGAACATATTTCTCATTTTTCTGAATATTGGTTTTCGAAACACCCCATAATAATATTGACAATCCTTATCAAATGTAGCCAACATATTTAACAATATTCGGTTTACACTGCTCTGCTTATATAAAGATTTAAATGAATAACTGTTCGACTCTACTCATATGTTTTGCAGCATTCGGTATATTTCACTATAATCGCCGGAAATATGATTCATATCGATTGCCTTTACCACACTGGTTACAAATTTCAAATGAAAATAATAAATAGTTGATATAGCTATGGTGGTGATCATGCTGTGACGAAACTCAGGCTGAATGTGCGTCTGATGTGTTTCATGAGGAGTGTTGTATTGTTTATACATGAGAGAATATAGTGAGACTTTCCTCATTGCAAAATAATTTATGTAGACATTACAGATTGTTTTAGAAATCAATCTGCGCATTGTGAGTTGAAAATTAATTAATTTTAAAGTTACCCGAATTTCCGGTGCGAGGTTATTTCTCCGCTGGTTGGCAACCGGGTGGAGTCGATTAAAGCAACAAGTGCCGAACTTGAAATGGGGTGTGCTGTTAGCACAGCGGTGGAGAAGGAAGCTGCCGAAAGGTCTAAGAAAATAGATAAAGATCTCCGAGCAGATGGAGAAAGAGCTGCAAGAGAAGTTAAGCTTTTATTATTGGGTAAGAAACATAACCAGATGTAAGCTTGTGTTGTGTAAAATGGATTAACATCTTCTCATGTGTCATAGAGCGACATTTTGCAGTTAAGTAGATGTATACAATGTTGCACTTTAGTGCTTTTTAAGAATAGAATGTTACATAATGATGGTGGCAAGGCTTGCAAAAATTCACAGTACAATTCCAGATGCAACATAACCCCTGACAGGGTGCCAAGAAGTACAAAATGCAGGTCCAAGTGACAGACATTAATCTCAGTAAATATCAGAAAGGAATTTTAATCTGTAGGCTTAGGGAAGGTCAGGCTAAAGGGTTGCCGCTTCTCTGAATGTAATCGTGAGTGTGTTCTGTCCTAGTAACATTGACTGACTGCTTTATGGCTCCTGAAACGCCCCCTCTTCGTTTTATTTTGCTATATACATTAATTCCATCATAGTTATATTTACAAATAAAAACAATTAAAAATATCTTAATGAAAATTAAATGTTTAACAAGAGTGAAAATTTTGAATTTTATTGGTAAGTTGATTGCTGAGACCTGTGGCTGCTACAGTGCACTTAATCTAAGTCACAGTCAACAATGTCTCCATCATTCTCATTGCTGCTTTCTAAGATGATGACAAAACATTTCAATGCGTTATTCATGCAGCCATGCTCCCAGTGATCACATTCTAATTTTTCTACATGGCCGCAATAACAGGTTAATCCTTCTGACACAATTTCTTCAATACTTTTCATGCTAATGTCTCCTGGTACTTCCCATGTTCTTAATGTTTGAACTGTTCTCAAGCTATCTTGGCTGGTTTGAGATCTAACATGTAGGGAGGTAACCTGTTTGCAATGTGATCATGGTGAAGGTAAAATGTGAAGTTGTTCCTGTGCTTAATTAATTAAGCATGACACCATGAAGATGTATAGGTGAGTGGAGGTATAATTCCACCATTCTTGGCAGCACTTGATGGAGGTGTGTGGTCAGCTTAACACCCCTGGCCTCTTTACCCCGGTGAAAGAGCCCTGGTATTTTTGGGTAGGAGGCTGGTTGGGCCCCACAGCCAATCTGGATGCTGTGAAGAAGAGAAAAATCTTGCCTCTGCCAGGAATTTAACCCCAGTTGTCAAGCCCATAGCCCATTGCTGTACAGACTGACATTGAGTAATTTTTGACCTTGTACACTTTCTCCTCATGTACCGCTCAGTATTATCAAACAGTATAGTTTTCCTCATAGAAATTTCATCAGAAAACCCAGTAAGTTTCAACCTGTTATCCGTATCCTGTTTGTTGGCACTTTGTACTGGGGCTTTATTTTGCTTATTTTTGTGGTAGGGTGCATTGTTCATAATGATGACACCTGAAGGAGGAAAATTAGAACTTGACTGGAGATCCATTTAGAGAAATTTTCACAATTCATTTGTCCATGGTAATCTCCACCTAACTGTGCTTCAGGTAAAAAGCCTTCCTTTGTAGTAGAATCAGTACTAAATCATACTAAGGATTATATCCCACACTCCAGTTTATTACAAATATATCTATCACTGTTATATTTTAGCGTCCTGTTGCACTGATTTAAGTTCATGATTTGTTTATTCCGTCTTGCAGTGCATACACTTATCTATCTTCTTCTCTCACTTTCACTACATGTTTCGGCATAAGAATGCCATCTTCAGGTGCTACTCAATTCACGTCAAACTAGTACATTGTATGCCTTGTCTTCACTTTAAAATAACTAAAATATATGTCCATCATATATATTGACAAATGTCAATCGTAAAAATATTAAAACTGTTCAGGGTTCCCGATCGCTACGTCGTATCTTATTACGCCAGTCCTGTTCATCCTACTCTGTTGGAGCTCTTCTTCCCTATCGTGTATATTGTGTTTCTGTTGCGTCTTGTTCTCGCGACTGCGTGCGTTACGCTGTTGGGTCTGCTGGGTATGTGTGTGTCTATCACACTTGTTAAAGGCAAGGTACATAAAATGTGTACAAAAGTATGCAGTCTACACAACAATATTCTGTATTTAAAACAAAGTGTCTACTTTGCATACTTTTGTATACATTTTATGTACCTTGTTTATGACACACAACAGGATGCACACTATTAAGAATGTTGAAGGCAGTTTGTTTCCAGTACAGACCATGAAGGAGTGAACATTATAGAAGGGGAAAAATGAAAGGGAGACTGTTCCTAACCTTAATCATAGTTAACTGTTTCTCTTGTCATCATGGCTATTTCCTCTCCATTGCACCTGCTCAGCAGCCTTCCTTGTGTCCTGAACATTGAAGTATTCAGTAATCTTCCTTTGATGATAAAAAGTGTAAACTTTATATAAAGCAGTTAAGTCAGTGTTAAAAGAGGATCTCCCCTCTCACTCCTGCTCTGTAGAAGAATTTACTACAATAAAAAAATTTGTCAGCTATAAATATGTGCAAGTACTGATGATGATGATGATGATTTATGATATAATTATTTTGGTGTGAAACTGTATTAACAGAGATGGTTGTACACATATTTATATTTGCATAGGAAACAAGTATGGTATTTGTAATGCAACATGTTCTACAACCTTGGCTTAGGCCTATGAAGGATCTCTGGAATGGAAATATTGTACATTATTTTCTATTCTAAGCAGCTTGGAGGTTCAGTCTTTCAATCAGTATTTATGTGAGAAGAAGCATTGGTTTACAAAAGTGAGTTATAGCAAGGCTTTCTTTTTGTGTATAAGTTTAGCAAGATCTCATGTATTGTATGATAGTAATTCAATTGTGGACTTCAGTGTGAATTGTTAATAGAAATATGATACCCTCACATTGATGGTGTTTTGCCATGTGTGTTTATTTCTGTCAGAGGTACCAGTATTTTATAAAAATGACTTCGGACAAAAAGGATTGAGATTTCACATTGTTACTTGTAGAAATTGAACTGACTGGCTGTAAAATACAAATATGAATCCAGAGGGATTATGTTAGGTTACATATGAAGTCCCTTTCAGGTAGTAGAGTCTTCTTTCATATCATTACACCAAAACCCAGTTTGTTCTGTGCATAATGAAATACATCTTCTCCTGAAGACGGAAACAGATCCAGTTTCCGAAATGTCATTTCCTCTATTACCTAAAATTCTGGACAATGGGAAAAGTCCAAAACCCCAGTAATTCTGTGCTTCAATGATCTGTTGTGCTTGTCAGTCATGATAGAAAAATTAGGAGCAGAAAGGAAAAGACATATCAGAAAATATTCCTTTGTGAATAGGACCATCTAGCTCTGGAACCAACTACCTGCAGATGCTCTAGGGACTCTGTTCTGTAAACCAAGTAATTTTATGAAAAGAGTTAGGAAAGTGATAAGATGAAGTGAAGGTGTGGGGGAAATCCTCAAAAAAGGAAGTGAAGGTCATGGTGAAATGTGAGTGCATCAGATTATGACATTGTGTATTTCATATCTCCTTATTTTAGACCATTCTTGATTGGAAAACTATCAGAAAAATGTTTACCTATACAGATTTTATTATGTATTTCACTTAAACACATTTTAATCAACCTAACTAGTTTCATGGATACCCCAAACTCCGTAGTGGAATATAAAGGTAAAGTTGTCCCTCTGCTTAACTAATTAAGCACTAAACCATGAAGGCATATGGCAGAGTGAATGTATAGATCCACATTTTCTTATATTGGAATATACAAAATAAAAAACTATTTACTATTATGATGTTTGTGTATGTACATGTGTGTACATGTACATTTTGAAACTTTGCTCTGATTAGGATACACACTTGCTACTATCTGCTCATTCATGGCACTAATCTTGGTTTGGATGCCTGTTAGAGTTTCGTGGTTTTAAGAGGCCATCGTTGTTAACTTTTCTAGTGTTGTGAAGGAAACAGGAAACTTGTTATAAATGTGAAATTTTTGTTAAGAGCTCTGTGATGAAGGGAGGGATTGTGATGAATTGGATGATGATGTGTTGTGGACCAAATGTCATCTGGTAGTTGAGGTAACAACTTCAAAGTTGTTGGCAGATGGCAGGAAATCATATTAATAAAGGAATAAAATAAGCAGCCATATGGCTGTATACATGAAACCCTGCACTTTTTGAATTGCATGTTTGCTGATTTTTTTTTATTCTAAAAGGAGCTGGAGAATCTGGAAAAAGTACGATAGTGAAGCAGATGAAAATCATTCACGAGACTGGTTACTCCAAAGAAGAATGTGAGCAGTATCGTCCAGTAGTCTATAGCAACACAATTCAGAGCCTGATGGCAATAATCAGAGCAATGGGACAGTTGAGGATTGATTTTGCAGAGCCTGGCAGAGCAGTAAGCTATTTACATTCTTCTTGTGTGCTGTAGCCTATTTTAGTTTCAGAACATCTTTTATTGTAAAGGTTCCCTAAGACTTGTATGAGCACAAAGTGGCAGACTTGTTGGATGGAGAGTCAGATTATTGTGAGCTCTCTGTCATAAGAAGACAACACATAAAAAGAACAGCAGCCACTGATAGAGTTTGAACTTGTGTTCCCGGTGTTTAGTTGGTTTATGGTGATTCATGCCTTAGAACTGCATGTCCTCCAAGATGGAGTGGTGATGTATGTTACAAACAGTATTGCTAATAACAAACAAAAGTTAAATTAAGTAGTTACTATAGGATTCAGACTTTATCCATCGTCCTGGTTTTAAGATAACTAAGAAAAACACGATGTTTCGGAAACTGGATCTGTTTCCATCCTCACTGGACCAGTGATTGAGGCTAGCTCTTTGTAAGGGACCCAACAGAATAGGTGTTTTCCCTCACCTCAGGATGGAAACAGATCCAGTCCGAAACGTCGTGTTTTTCTTAGTTATCTTAAAAACCAGGACGATGGATAAAGTCCGAAAACCCAATATCTCTGTGTGAAAAGTTAAATTGTTTACATTCATGAGCCAATCCTGATTTTACAACCAGTTTTGACAGTTATGGTTATGTAACTGCAAACTAACTATGTCAGAAACTTGTGTAATATTATGTATACCTAATCTAGGTTCTAAATCAGTCATGTGTGTCAACTTCTTCTCTTTTTCTTCTAGCTACCTAGTGTGTTGTAGCACAGTGTTCTTTCTCATGATGAAATAATTTAGACTTTGTAAGTATTAATTTGTGTTAAAAGTTATATAACAAAAAACTGAAATAAAATTTAGAAACTATGCATAAAAATGTCAGGAATTAAGACTGCGTTGTTCCTAATGAATGTGGCACTGCAGTTTGCAGAAGGTATGGTGTAACTAAGTCTAGGCAGTTTATGTGTCCGCATATTCTGACTGTTTGTCTCTGAAGTTTGTCATTCTGTTATTGAATTGGACAAATGCTGTCTTCTGTGACATGACAATGTGTAATCTAGCAGAAGTTAACTGATGATTTGGAGGAACATACTGACTCCATCTTCAGGTCTGAAGAGTATGCTGAGTGTGAGAAAAGTGACATGATAGAGGTCAGGGCAGGGGCCCTCATCTCATCTCATTTATTTACATTCCATAAATCCACTACATATAGGATAAGGAATTAGTCATTGATAGTACAAATAACACTACATAGAAATAACAGTATAAGATTCATTACATTATTCAGTACCATAATAAATCACAGTTAATTATTGGAGTCAAATTTACAATCAAAGTATTCTTCCAAGGAATAAAACAAGTTCATCAATAAAAATCTTCTTAAAGCAATTTTAAAATGTTTAACTTCTTGACCAAGTTCCTTATATTAGGAGGAAGCCAATTAAAAACCTTAATTCCATGGTAGTACACTCCTTTCTGAAATACAGTCAACTTACATATAGGATAATGGAATTTATTATTATATCTTGTATTCCTATTATATAACTCAGAATTTAACTTAAATTGATCTTTATTATTAACCACAAACATTGCAAGAGAAAATATGTACTGAGATTGCAGGGGTAAAATATCCAGTTCCCTGAACAATTCCCTACATCAATCTCTGTTACCAGAGTTCATTATAATTCTAATCGCCCTTTTTTGCAACCTGTGTGAAACAATATGAGCAAGGAGAAGGGTGAAAGAATCAAGGCCTTTAAATGGTATGTTTTTTTGCCTCAGTAAAGATATGGTAGAAATAGTGGCATAAGTGACCAGTCAGAGGTGTAGGTATTTCCAGAGAATATCAGAAGCTGAAATTTTTAGTTATGTTGGAGGTGAGAGTCCATTCCTCATTCTAGTATCCAAAACTGACCTGAGCAGTTCAGTGATGTTCAAATCTAATGATTTTGCTGACCAGGGAAGACATGGAAGTTCACCTTTATGTTTTTCAAACCATGACTGAACAGTTCCAGCTGTGTGACTGGGGGCATTGTCATCTTGGAAAACTGCATCATTGTTCAGAAATCATAGGGTGCAGCTGATTACCTGACCTGTCCGCATACTCTTTTTCAGTAATTCGGCCATGAAGGTTAATAATGGGACCAGCGGAATAATGTACCACGATATTGCTACCCAAACCTTCAGAGAAGTTCCTCCCATGAGTTTCACTGTTGTAACCAGGCATTCTGAATTGTAGGCTTCCTTGGGTGTTCCCCAAACATAAACTCTTCCTGAGGAGGGAACAGCATGAAGGATGACTCATCTGACCATGTGACACATTTCCAGTTTTCCGATGATAAAGTTTTATGCTCATGACACCATCATTTATGCATCTTTCAGTAGCTGGAAGTTTAGCAATTGCATCCTTACTATGGATGTTGAATTTGTGAAACTTACATTAGACAGTTTTTGTGGAAATGATCTAATAATTATTCCGTTCTGCTGTCACCTATGTTATAGTAATTTTCTGGTTGTTTTTAAACAACCCTCAATGTACAATGATCTCTTTCTGTCAGTGTTGATTTTTGCACACTGTTCCTCTTCACTGATGTTGTCTTCCTGTGGGTTGTGTATGGCACTGACATAACCTTAGAAACTGCCACTCTCGATACACCTAATAATTTGGCAGTTTTTGTCACAGATGCTCCAGCTAACATACACCAACAATCTGTCCTCTTTCAAAATTACTAGCAGTTTCCCATTTTCCAATTACGTCACATGGAATGTCTCTCAACATAATCACCAATGTGTAAACAGTCAGAAGAAGAACATTCAGTGTTTCCAACCTAAGTTATTTCAATGTAACCAACAAAAAAAATTCTCTTTCTCAATAGCCTAATGTGCTTGCTTTTGAATTTGTGCTAGGACCATGCCCGTCAGTTCTTCACATTAGCAAGTGCAGCAGAAGAAGGAGAACTGACTCCAGAGCTGGTGATGTTAATGAAAAGGCTTTGGCAGGATGCTGGAGTTCAGCTGTGCTTCATTCGTTCCAGAGAGTATCAATTGAATGATTCGGCTGCATATTACTTGAATGCACTGGACAGAATCTCACTACCAAACTACATTCCCACACAGCAGGATGTCCTGAGGACAAGAGTGAAAACCACAGGCATAGTTGAGACTCACTTCACCTTTAAGGGTTTACACTTCAAGTAAGTCAGATTAATTTTCAGTTTATTGAGATTTGTTCTCATATGCATACATAGATCTATGTCCACATAACACCTAGTTCTTGTGGTAACAAATCCTTACATGAATGTCAATTAATTCTACTCTCTTATTACATGATACCGTCTTTCTGTTTCATTATTTCTGCAACTTCAGTAGCGTATATGTTGGATACTAGACACATAAATTACACTCATTAATGTAAGAAAATACAGTTAGCAAATGTTAAGGTATCTTCTTGAGAAGTTATTCCTGTTATAATTAGCATTTTGAATTATGTTTGGTAAGTAATACAAGCAGGATAGATCATTGAAGGTCACAGTACTAAGGCCAGTTTTATGGCTCACCCCTCATGCTCATACTCAATACACTTACTCTCACACACATACACATAGAAAACATGTATTATTTGTATAATACATTTTGCATTTACAGTTTCTTATTTAAAAAACTGAAGTCTTTGTTGGTAAGTAAGTTTTGTTATCTTGAGATCAGTACATTCCTTGCAGCAGAAGATAACTGATCACATTTTCTTGTATTGAAGGAACAGAATCTATTGCATTGCATGCCATTATGTTAATGTAAAATTATTTAAAAAGTATTTTAAAATATTCGTCAGTTATAATAAATTTTTTGTATACTAAAATCTTGTTAAGATATTCATCTTATCTGTCCCAATTCGAAACCCGCGCATGGTTCATCCACTACGGGAGTCATTCCTCTTATATGCAGTGTGTATCGTGTCTCGTGATGTGTGTTCCCTTTTTGTCTGTGGGTGTTGTTACAACACCCACAGCACTATGATGGCACTATGGTGCCGAAACATGTTGTGAAGTGACAGGTAAAAGTGGATGCACTGCAAGATGGACACTGTATATATATATATATATGATATACGAAAATAAGTGCACCACGACGCAAAAAAACAAAATAAGATATT